TCGAACCCGCGGGCTCAGGCAATGCACTCACCTCAGCCTCCCAAAGACGCGGGATTACAGGCTGAGCCACCGAGCCCGGCTAATTTTTGATTTATTGTAGAAAGGTCTCGCCATGCTGCCCGGGTGGGTCTCGAACCCGCGGACTTAGGCAATCCACCCGCCTCGGTCTCCCAAAGCGCTGGGATTCCAGGCTGAGCCACCGAGCCCAGCCCTCAAGGACCCTGTTAAGACTGTCGCTAAAGGCCAGCGGAGGCGCAGTGGTTCACGCCTGTGATCTAAGCAAGCACTTTGGGAGGCCGAGGGGGGAGAATCGCCTGAGACCAGGAGCTCGACAACCTGGGCGATACAACGAAACACCCCGTCTCTACAGAAAAAAAAAAAAATAAATGTAAAAACGTCGCCCCGCGGGACACAGATCGCAGCCCGGCTCTCCAGGTCGGAACCGCCCCGCCAGCTTCCGCTTCCCGACTTCCCAGCCGCTGACGTCATAGGAGTCGCGCAGGTGACGCCATCGCGGCGCGCAGAGTCGGGAGCTGGGAGCCGGCGTCGCTCACGCGGTAGCGGCGCGGCCGCTCGGGCGGATTTCGGCCGGGGCGGCGGCGGCGGCAGCATGGCGGAGGACGGGGCGGGAGTGGGCCGCTTCAAGGCCAAGTGAGCCCGAGCCCGGGGAGGGGCCGGGGAGCGGGCGGAGGGCTTGTGCGGACGGGCCGCGGGATCCTGGAGGCTGCCGCGACGAGAGGCAGGAGGGCGGGAGCCGGACCCCGGCCGGGCGCAGCGGCGTCGGCTAAGGCAGGAGCCTGTTTCGGGGCTGGAGTGGGGACGAGAAACCTCGGAGGAGGGGGATGGCGGCGCTTAGCTGAAGTCGGGGCTGGTCCTGGGCGGTGGCGGGAGACGAAGCACCACCTGGGCAGGCGGCCTGGAAGCTTCCGCCGGTTGTCCCTGCTCTCCTGCGAGCAGGGCGTCAGGAGGTGGGCAAGTCCGCAGTGGTCTAGGAGGCCCTGAGGACTGTGCGCCTTCGGTCCCAAACCTTTGCTGAACCGCGAAGTGCTCGCGCCCGGTGGGAGCAGACTTAGCTCCCACCTGGGGAGCGCAGTCTCGTGGGACGAGCCATTTCCATCGGTGACCCGCAAGCACTGGCACAGGGAAGCCCCGGTGCCGACACCTCTGTTGGAAGGTCGACTGCGTGCGGGGGAAGAGGGGCTAGTTTCATCTTGGCAGGCTTCTAGGAGTGCAGTTAGCCAGGCACTGAAAGCTGGAAAGCGAGGCCCAGGCCTCATACAGGGAACAGGCAGAAGATGAGGAGAAATCCTGTGGCAGGGACTGGGCCAGGAGTGATAGGCTGCACCATGGGCGGTGAGAGGGAAGGCAGACACAGAAAGCATTTCTGGGCAAAGTCTCGGAGGTGTGAGGAGAGCAGCGGACCTGTGCAGTATGGTGACATCTGAAAGGAAGCTGGCAGCAAGATAAGAGACAGTAGAGGCGGGGCTCAGTGGCTCAGCCTGTAATCCCACATTTTGGGAGGCCGAGATGAGTGGATTGCCTGACCCCGCAGGTTCGAGATCCGCCCGGACAACTTGGCGAAGCCTCGTCTCTACGATAAATCAAAAATTAGCCGGGCGTGGTAGCGCACACCTATAGTTCTGGCTACTTGGAAGGCTGAGGTGGAAGGATTGATGGACCCCAGCAGGTCGAGGCTGTGGTGGCCAGGAGCATGCCACTGCACTCCAGTCTGGACGACGGAGTGAGACTCCAACTAAAAAAAAAAAAAAAAGACAGTAGGATCCAGTGAAGAGACTGGGACAGCTGGCCAGAGAGACTGGTGGTCTGGCCCCATCCTGGGTGGAGGTGGTGGAGAGGAAGGGAGGGAAGTAGCTGCTTAGGGAGTGTGATCCAAGCAAGGCTAGGGATGCAGGAAGCATGCCAGATCCCAGAGCTGAAGACGCAGGGGAGGTTGGTGGGCTAGGCTATAGGGCTGGCTGCCCACAGCTGGCAGGGGTGTGGCCAAGATCCCACCTGGTCCATGCTGGGGAATCTCTGGGAAGACTGGGCTGGTCAGCTGCCACCTCCTGAAGCAGGCCCACCCTTACTACCTCAAGGATCACCTAGCAGCTGTGGGTGCCCACCTCTCTGTCACTTGGAGGCAGCAGCATTCACCCACAGTGCTGCTAGTTTTCTCTCTGGGAACTCTGCTGCTGTCCAGGAACTCCTCAAGTCCAGGGCCCATTGAATTCATCTCTGGAAGAGCACCCAGCACAGGGCTGGGCTCTGGGGACCAAGGGGGCAGGTGATCACTTACGCCCCTGTTTCTTTGCCAGCTATGCCGTCGAGCACAAAATTGAGCCATTCTACAAGGGTGGGAAAGCACAGGTATGGCCTGGGGAGGCGCAGGGTGGTGGGGAAGTCAGGGCTGTGTGGGGTGCCAAATGTTGTCTTGACTGAGATCCCTCTGTCCCCAGCTGGACCAGACTGGCCAGCACCTCTTCTGCATCTGTGGTAACAAAGTCAACGTCCTGGAGGTGGCCTCAGGGACCGTGCTACGGAGCCTGGAGCAGGTGAGGGTGGGCTAGGTGGGTGTGGAGGGTGGGTGGGGAGGGCAGCTCATTCACATGTTGCTCTGTGTGCTTTCTCACTTGCCTAGGAGGACCAAGAGGACATCACTGCCTTTGACCTCAGCCCCAACAACGAGGTATGTGGGACAGGGGTGGGGGTGAGCTCTAGTACCTCCCTCCCACACTTTGAGTCGAGGAGGAGGTCTCTGCCTCGCAGCTGAACTGCACCCTCCCCTAGGTACTGGTGACAGCCAGCCGGGCATTGCTGCTGGCCCAGTGGGCCTGGCGAGAGGGCAGCGTTACCCACTTATGGAAGGCAATACACACAGCCCCGGTGGCCACAATGGCCTTCGACCCCACCTCCACGTTGCTAGCCACAGGTAGGGCCCCAGCCTGGCGGGCACAGGGGCAGGGCTTTGGTCACACCAGCTCCGTCACCTCACTTCCCTGCAGGTGGCTGTGACGGGGCCGTGCGAGTCTGGGACATCCTGCGGCACTACGGGACACACCACTTTCGGGGCTCGCCCGGTGTCGTGCAGTGAGTGAAGGTAGCAGAGGGTGGGTGGGCAGAGGCACCAGCCTCGGGCGCACAGCTCACTGTCCTGCTTCGTTCACCTCCAGCCTGGTGGCCTTCCACCCAGACCCCACGCACCTGCTGCTCTTCTCCTCAGCCACAGATGCCGCCATCCGTGTGTGGTCACTGCAGGACCAGTCATGCCTGGCCATGCTGACTGCCCACTACAGTGCTGTCACTTCGCTGAGTTTCAGTGCTGATGGCCACACCATGCTCAGGTCAGCAGCAGGCCCGATGGGCCCTGGTAGGAAGGGGAGTCTGAGGAAGTGGGGGCTGACACCGAGGCTGAGACACTGGGCCTGAGGTGGCTGCTTCCCCCCAGCTCCGGCCGTGACAAGATCTGCATCATCTGGGACCTTCCGAGCCGGCGGGCCATGAGGACCGTGCCAGTGTTTGAGGTGAGGCACCTGAGTGCTCTTGCTGGTGAGTGGGATGGGGCAGGAGCTGGGCTGCAGCCTATGACCCAGCTTGTCCCCAGAGCGTGGAGGCTGCTGTATTGCTGCCAGAGGAGCCAGCGCCAGAGCTGGGCATGAAGTCCCCAGGCCTGCACTTCCTGACAGCTGGTGACCAAGGTGCGTGGGGCCAGGCCACGGGCAGGGTTTGGGGAGGCCTGTGGACCCATGAGTCCCAGCAGTCCCTGTTCTCCCACAGGCGTGCTGCGCGTGTGGGAGGCAGCATCCGGGCAGTGTGTGTACACACAGCCTCGGCCACCAGGCCCCGGATGGGAGCTGACCCACTGTGCCCTAGCCCGCACCGCTGGCTTACTTCTCAGTGTCACTGCTGACCACAACCTGCTGCTGTACGAGGCCCGCTCTCTGCGGCTGTGGAAACAGGTGCGCACCTGCTGCTGCACAGGCTGGGACTTGGCCTTTACTTAACACGGCTCACATCTCCTATCCCCTGCAGTTCGCTGGCTACAGTGAGGAGGTCCTAGACGTCCGCTTTCTTGGGCCTGAGGACTCCCATGTCATCGTGGCCTCCAACAGTCCCTGCCTGAAAGTGTTTGAGTTGCAGACGTCGGCCTGCCAGATCCTCCATGGACACACGGGTGAGGAGCCCACCGGTGTGCCTCAGGTCCCGCACTGGATTTGATTCCCCCACCCCCACTTTGCCATGACTGACCTCTGAGCACTGCCCCCACTTCCTCCCAGACATCATCCTGGCCCTGGATGTGTTCCGGAAGGGGTGGCTCTTTTCCAGCTGTGCCAAGGTGAGGTAGCCTGAGATGGGTAGAGGTGTGGGACCCCCCTGGTGGGGACACCACAGCTGTGGACCCACAGCCTCGCCTCTCTCCTCAACGCCTCCTGCCCCCAGGATCAGAGCATCCGTGTCTGGAGGTTGAGCAAGGCTGGCCGGGTATCCTGCGTGGCTCAGGGCTCTGGGCACACACAGAGCGTGGGCACCATCTGCTGCTCCAGGTAGCGGGTCGGGGCCAGATCCAGGGGTGTCAGGAGATGAGAGCCCAGGTCTGCTGATGGGGCTGCAGCGGGAGGCAGCAGCATCCTGGCCTGCTCTTTGGGCCTTCAGCCCAAGATATGGAACGGAACGGGGCAGGGAGAACCCCAGGTGCCACAGATGGATTCTTTGGAAGCAGTCTTGGCAAGGTGGTTAACTGGAAAGGGCACTGAGGGAGGCCCAGCGGCAGAAGGTGACCCTCTGTGCAGGGCTGGGTCCCGTAGCTGGGACTGAGTCACCAGGTGTGGCAGCACTGAGGGTGGGTAGTGTAGGCGGGGGCTTGGTCCCAGATGTGTTAGGAGGTGTCATGAGCCAGCCTGCATCCAGGGACAGTCCTCCTGCTCTGGACAATGGTCTGGCAGGCCAGGCTGTGGTGCACTAGCAGTCAAGTATGGCTGGAGCTCAGCAGTGTCTCCTCCCGGGGCCACAGGCTGAAGGAGTCCTTCCTGGTGACGGGCAGCCAGGACTGCACTGTGAAGCTGTGGCCTCTTCCCGAAGCCCTGCTATCTAAGAAGAGCACAACCCCAGATGGCATCCCTGTCCTCTTGCAGGCCCAGACCACCCAGCACTGCCATGACAAGGTACCCACACTTGGACCCATTGAATGGGGGTGGGGCATGGCCAAGCCCTCAGTGGGATGGGGGTCTGAGCTGCCACCTGCTCCCGTCACCAGGACATCAACAGCGTGGCTGTTGCACCCAATGACAAGCTGCTGGCCACGGGCTCTCAGGACCGCACGGCCAAGCTCTGGTCCCTGCCACAGTGCCAGCTGCTGGGCGTCTTCTCAGGCCACCGGCGCGGCCTTTGGTGTGTCCAGTTCTCACCCATGGATCAGGTGCTGGCCACCGCCTCTGCTGACGGCACCATCAAGCTCTGGGCGCTACAGGACTTCAGCTGCCTTAAGGTAAGCCGTGTCCCCAGACCTGGCCTGGCCCCCTACCCTGGTGACACCTCATACCCTCTCATTCCTGACAGACATTCGAGGGGCACGACGCTTCTGTGCTGAGGGTGGCCTTTGTGAGTCGCGGCACGCAGCTACTATCCAGGTGAGTGGGCTGTGGGTAGGTTGGGGGGCAGGAGGGGCTGGCCCCAGCACTGAGCTGCTCCCAATCCCACACCCAGTGGCTCTGATGGGCTCGTGAAGCTCTGGACCATCAAGAACAACGAGTGTGTACGGACGTTGGATGCCCACGAGGACAAGGTCTGGGGGCTGCACTGCAACCGGCTGGATGACCATGCCCTCACTGGTGCAAGTGACTCCTGCATCATCCTCTGGAAGGTTGTGGCCTTTAGGGCCGGGCAGGGGTAGGGCAGCATAGGGGCCCCATCTCACACTCATCTGACCCAGGATGTGACCAAGGCGGAGCAGGCAGAGGAACAAGCCAAGCAAGAGGAGCAGGTGGTCAAGTAAGTCTGGTCAGCAGTGCCCTGAAGGCTGGAGTGTTCAGCACCCCTGCTTCATGCCATAGGAAAACAGGCTGTGTGCCGGGATTGCCACCAGGGTGTGCTCAGGCCCAGCCTTTTGACTCCAGTGGCTTTGCCTCAGCCCTAGCCAGGGTCCTTCAGTGGTCCTCTGCTCCTTCCCCTCTCCCCAGGCAGCAAGAGCTGGACAACCTGCTGCATGAAAAGCGGTACCTGCGGGCGCTAGGCCTGGCCATCTCCCTGGATCAGCCCCATACTGTTCTGACTGTCATCCAGGGTCAGTACACAGCTGGGGCAGGGGCTGGGTCTCGGGGCCGTGGCGCCTCTTGCTCTAGAGCTCGGTCTTCCTTCTTCCCACAGCCATCCGGAGGGACACAGAGGCCTGCGAGAAGCTAGAGGCTACTGTGCTCCGACTGCGGAGAGACCAGAAAGGTCCAAGGCCACGGGGGGGTCCTCCAGGGGGGGCGGTGTGGTGGGCAGGGGCTGCTCATGGTGGCGGAATGGCCTGATGGGCAGTGACCATCCCTATCACCCACAGAGGCCCTGCTGCGCTTCTGTGTCACATGGAACACCAACTCACGCCACTGCCACGAGGCCCAAGCCGTGCTGAGTGTGCTCCTCCGGCACGAAGCCCCTGAGGATCTGCTGGCCTACGAGGGCATGCGGGCAGCACTTGAGGCCCTGCTGCCCTACACTGGTATATGGCACGGCCTGGGGTGGGGCAGCCTGGGGAGCACATGGATCACCCCCTGACCTCCCTCTGTCTTCCCCCAGAGCGGCACTTCCAGCGGCTCAGCCGAACACTGCAGGCAGCCACCTTCCTGGATTTCCTGTGGCAAAACATGAAGCTGCCCACTCTGCCTGCTGCATCTCCAGCCCTCTGAAACTCATAAAGTTGTACCTTTCCAGGCTGGCTCCATGTGCTGTCTGATCCTGGGGTCCCGGCCAGCAGAATGGGCACTGGACCCTGATGGTCTCGGCCTAACCAGCCCATCCTGCACCCTGGCCAGGCAGACCACAAGCCCTGCCCCTCACCACACTGAGACAGTTTGGGTCATTCAGGACGAGTTTTACTCAGAACACAGGATGTTATCATGTGTCCTCACCCTCCACCCCTGCCCTGCTAGCCAGAGGGTCCCGCCCTTTGCTTCTCACAGCGTGCTGGGTAAAGATGGGCTAACATCCTGTCTGCATCCTTGGGCTGAGCTGCTGTGAGGTGTAGTGTAAGGTGCCCAGCCCAGGCTCTAGGCGGTGCCACTGCTCTCAAGGGGGTCCCTGCCACCCCAGTGCCCTGCGGGTGATGGTGCAGCAGCGGCTCTGGATGGCACTCAACGGTGGTCGGGCAGGCACGGTAGGGGGAAGAGTCGTGGCCTGGTGGTTTTCAGGGTAGCCACGGCCTCCACTGCCCCTGTCCTCCCAGCCTTGAAACTCAGGCAAGAGTGCGCCCAACCCTTCAGGCCGCAGCAGCACTGCGGGAAGGAGGCCGGTCCCGCCGCCATACCTGCAAAGGGAGGGGCGTGGTTAGAGCCTGCCTGCCTCCACTGGGCCCCGCCAAAGGCCCGCCCCCGTGCACCTGCACAGCCACCAGCCGCGGTCTGATTTTTCCAGCACGTGCACGCGTGCCCCTGCTGGCACAGACAGCTCGTCTGCGCGATTTCCCTCGTAGGCACGGGAAGCACAGAACTGAGGACCTAGACACGAGTGGTAAGGGGTTACTGTGGGGCCGTAGAGCCCAGAACCCCTGCCTTTTGCCGTGTATCCATCTGGCTGGCTGCCAACGCCAGAGAGTGCTCTACCCTATTCGGGGCTCCCCTCTGACTTTGGCGACAAAGCACACACTCTAGTTCCTGTGTTACAGTCTCCCTTCCCTGCCTGGGTGATTCCTCTGGCCCAGTCTTGCCACACAGTCCAGCCAGAGTGGTGGGCGTCTGAGAGGGGGTTAGGTTCCCCTACCGCTGCTTCCCAGGGACGGGCCTCTCTCCCGGCCCTGGTCCGGGGCCACCTCCTCCAGGTAGGGAGCTGGAAACCAGGCCATCTGCTGGTCTGCATTCTTCACCAGCCACCAGCCTGTGCACAAGAAGTGGAGGGGACTCAGATCCGGAGGCCCACGTGTTCAAGAGGCAGAAAGCGGATCCCTGGACGGCCCCACCTGAAGGGTGTCGCAGCAGTACGTCCAGGCTTTCCTGAGCCCGCGCATTGAAAAGCCGGTCCTGCATGTCCTGGGTGTGGAAGGGCTGCAGGCAGCGCAGGCTCTGAGCCTCCAGGCTGTGAATGGCAAGGCTGCCAGCGGGGCGGGAGAGGGGCTGCTCCGGGGTGGGCAGGATCACCAGGCTGGGGAGGGCAGCGGTAGAGATGGGTGGATGGATGGGCGGGTGGGCAGCCAACCTCCCAGTCTTTGCGGCTTGTGGACTTCTGCCCAACATGCCTCCCCCGGACCCCAAACACTGCTGCAGGTTGGGGGTTGGGGCGGGTCAGACACCTGCCCGGCGGCAGTGTGGGCTCCAGGTCCAGAGGTTGCGGTGCGAAGAAGTCCGTCAGCACAGGGCTCCGTGCCACCCTCTCTGTAGTCGCCAGGAGCATCTGTGAATAGGTCTCCAGCAGCCGCAGGCGCGCCAGGCCACGGCCCGTTCGGCCCCCACGCACCAACAGCGGTGCATCTTCGGACACCACAAAACAACTCCGTGGGACCCCGCCCCAGGGCTCCACAGCTCCCCTCCCACCTCTCCCCCATACCCCTCTCCCGAAAGCGCCGCCTTCACCTCCCCCCTGGGATCCCGGCTGGTCTGACCAGGAAGCTTTGGGAGGACGCGGTCAGATCTCCGCAGCAGGCCCGCCTCCACCGGGAAGGTCTCCTTGAGGGTCTTCTGAGGGCAGGAACCAGGGTCTGGGTCTCCTAGAGCCCACCTGGCTCCCGTAGGAGGGTGGGGGTCCCTCACCTGGATGGTAGGGGCTGGAAACCTGGGCAGGCAGTAAGGACTCTGGGGTGGGGCGGGGGTGGGGAGTGGTTACTGCTGAGTCAGGTGCCAGGAGGCAGCTGTTATGGAGAGCCTGGGACGCCCATCGGGGTCACCCAGGGTCACTCACTTGGAGCCGCCTGAATTCGTCCCAGCTCCTGCACACATAGGTGTGGCTGCTGTCTGACCAGTCCACAGAGAAGGCAAACTTCTGGCGGAGGAAAGTTGGAGGCACCTCACAGAGGTTGCATGAGGCCCGCCCTCTGTCCCTTCACCCCTGGGCCTGCCCAGAGCGGTGGGGTCTCACCTGGAGCTGCTGGATCTGCACCAGGGCCGCCGCACGCACTGAAACGAGGTGCCGGGTGTCTGCCATCGCTGTGGACTTCCAGGTTGGGCTTTTAAAGTGGGTGGGGATGGCCGAGGATCCCCTCCCCTTCCAGCCTTCAAGGAGACTCCAGGACACCCGGAAGACTGGCTGCAGGGATTCCCCACCCACACCTCAAGCCTGTCCAGTCACTGTGGGGACTGCCCCGCGCCTGGGGCCTTTGCCACTTTCTTGCTCTCCCCCAAGCCCAGATCTGGGGGTTGGAGCACAGGGCTTAGGGGGCCCGAGGGCAGAGCTGGTGGAGGAAGAAGAGTGCACAATACTGTGTCCCGAGGGAGGTGTGGCGGAGGGGCTGGACTGCTGCCTGGGATCCTCCTGCCTGAGTCTTACCAGGAGAAGAGGGAGGAGAAGGACGGGTCATCAAAGTGCTGCCTGTCCTGGCCCATCTCTCTGAGTTGTCCCCACCCCATGAGCTGCTTGGATTGGTGTGACCTGCCAGGTATGCCTGCCAACAACTCTGTCTTTGGATTGGGGAGCTCCATGCAATGGATGTCTGGAACCAGGGACTCAGTGCTTAGGACTTTGAGTGCTTTGTCTGGCTTAATCCTAATGCTGGAGGAAAGGTCTCTTACTGTCCCCAGATCACAGAGGAGAACACATGTTAAATTAAGAGGTGCAGACCTCACAGGTGTGACCTAGGGGTTCTCCTGCAGTGGAGAGACTTGGGGTGGGAGGAAGTGAGTCTGTCCCTGCAGTCACTGGAACTTGGGGGCTGGGGAAGTGGTCACTAGGACTGTTTTGAGACCCACCCCTGAATTCATGAGTTACACAGCTTACTGCAAACACAGCCCGGGGAACAGGGCTCACCCAGATGCCCCACCTTTCTGGGCTGCTTCCTTAAGGTGGAGATTTCCAAAGCCACATTCAACCCTGGCACACAGCGGTTCTTCCTGGTGCTGGGGCCACTAGCTCTGTGGGCTCCAGGTCCAGAGGTTGCCCCTTATTCCAGCCCATTCAGGGAGGGGTCAGCCTCTAGGGCATCCCTCCAGGAAATCACCTTGGCCTCAACAAAAGGCCTTTGTTTTCCATAGAGGCCCCTGGTCTTGGCACAGGCAGTGAACACCTGCTGACACAGGGCTGATGTGCAGGGTACCCAGCTGTCACCCTCTCCCCATCTCAGCTGAAGGTCCAGCTGGCCTGGTGGGGTGCAGAATGGGACAGGCCCTGCTCCCTGGAAGACAGATGCTGGGGAAGCAAGGGCTTACGCACAACCAGGGGCCCAGAGGAATCTGAGGACCCTCCTCCCCTCAGCGGGCAGCCCCAGGCTCCACATTCCCTCAGCCCTGGAGTCTTTCCACCTTCTCGTCTCATAGTCGACCATCTTCTCTCATCTGAAGGACAACCCCGACCCTCAGGCGCTGTGCTTCTTACTTATCCCTATGGACATTCACCCTCCAAATGATAGAGGAATCTTTGCAATACACTGCGGTGGGATCAGGCTGGGGAGGCCGTGCTCAGAACCGCCCGGGGCCTTCCCACTGCCCTTAGAGTAACTTCCCAGTTCCCACAGCAGCCACGCCCCTGTCCACCCCGGACCTCCCTGGTCCTCTCCTCTCACAACCCTCCTCAGCATCCCACCTCCCTGACCATTTTGCTTTTGAAAGCCACCGAGACCCTTCCACCTTGGGCTTGGCCTTGAAAGCACTCTTCAGCTGATTCCTCATCCTTCAAGCCCTCTGCCCAAGGCCAACATCTGCAGGGAGACCTTCTGGATTTACCACCCCCTGCGCACGGCCCCCACCACAGTTGTCAGTGAACATTTATTGGTGTGACTCGTCTCTTTCGTCTTGACCACTGATTGCACTGAACCGAGGAGGTCAGGGAACAGCTCGGAAGCAGTTCAAACACAGAACGGGGCAGGCCCTGCACAGATATCTGCGGGAATGAATGAATGAACGCACGGAGGCAGAGGGATCTCTGAAGGCGCTCCCAAGGCGGGGCTTAGCATCTCACGGGGCACAGGATCCAGAGCAGCTGGGTGGGCTCTGGGAGCCAGGAGGCACGCGCCCACTCCGCCACCGCCGCGGCTCCGCCCCGCGTTGCCAGGGG